ACATATTAATCATAAGAAATCTCATAGGTCTTTAATTAATGTCACACAAAGATTTCAAAAGGAGCATTATCAGAAATAAAGAAGGGAATTTTCTATATTTGTCTTAATATTTATGTGTATGATAATGTTGTATTCTCATAAATAAAATGGTCAATTCATGAAGGAAATACGTCTTGATGTGCATTCGAAACAATTGGTGTCGAGGTGGTCCATTAGGACAATGAGCCAGACTGAAGGTGACAGTTAAGGCTTGTTCACTGACTGTAGTGTTGCAAGCAAAAGGCAAAAACAGGCACCACTAAAGAACAAAATAAATGAACAAACAAAATTGAGATAGATTCATAGACACAGAGAACAGACTAATGGATGCCAGGGACGAGAAAGGTTGGGTGACTGGGTGAAAATTTGAAGAGATCCCAAAGTACAAATTGACAGTTACAAAACAGTCCTGGGGATGTAAAGTACAGCCTAGGAAATATAGTGAATAATATCGTAGTAACTATGTACGGTGCCAGGTGGGCACTGAAAATATAGAGGGAAACACTTTCTGAAGTTTATGATTGTCTTACCACTATGCTGCACACCTAAAACTGACAAAGAATAATATTGAATGTCAACTGTAATTGAAAAGCACAATTTTTAAAAAGTAGGGTTTTATGTTTTTGTATGGAACGGCACTGGTAGATGCCATGTAGATCAGAGGATCACCTCACCATCATGGAGCCCTTTTAACAAAAGGCTCCTGCATCTTTTTAGACGTGTGGCTCAAGAGGAAGCAGAGAGGGAAAGGCTGGGAGTGAAAAGGTACTGAGTCAAAGTGGAGAAAAGCTCCTCAGCTGAAACCCCTGATAAAGAAGCCTTCCAATGAAGATGTTGGGCTAGGTATGCAGGCACGCAAATGGGAATGGCTGTCCCGGGTGGCCCGAAGTTCTTGACTGCGGTTCACCCCAGGAAGCCAGCGAGCTGGCTGTGTACAGACCTTGTGTGGGCAGGACAGCTCCCCAGGTGAGGCCTGGTCAGGCACAGAGTGTCACACCTAGTTGTTTGGCATAAAATCAGGCTCCTCAGTGTAAGTATTTATGACAGAATGTCAAAGTATGTAAAGCTAAAAGTCATAAAGGAGAAAGGGACATATCATGCTAGGAGACTTGAACACTTTCACACTGTCAGTGAGGATACGCTTGGCCTACGAATGGGTTCAGGGCACCGGGACTGGCAGCTGTAGAGTGGACATCCCTCTGAAGCAGTCACTGAAGCTTGGCCGGAAAACTAGTTTCAATAAATTTCACAAAATTAAAATCATAATACATGTTCTGATCATGACAAAATTCAATTAGAAAGAGATGAAAAGATTAGAAAGGTACCGGTAACTCCCTATATATTTGGATATTAAAATATAAACCTCTAAAAACACCTGGGTCAAAAAAGAATCACAAGGTAATTCAAAAGCATTTTGAATTAATAATAATAAAAGCACAACATATAATTTGTGAAAGTCACTTCTACTTCTATCCCTTGGTCTCCAGATCCAAATATTCTAAATATGATCCAAATATCTACAATAAATATGGGAGAAATTGGTCACTGTCTGAAACATACACCACATTTTGTAAAATCATACCACAACTGCCTAAGACATTCTCTCTCACATCGTCCACAAAGTGAGTCTCTATTAGGCCCTGACAACTTTCTGTAAGGTAGCTGCTTCTAGATCAGCATTTCTCTAACCTTTGTTTTCTCCCAGGAAGCCCTCACTAAATAGCTCTTCCAGTTCAACTGCCCCTTAGCCAGATTCTAAAAGTGCCTGTGACCACTCCAACACTACTGAGCACAACAAAAGTGTGACAGATGGGAAGGTGGAAAAAAAAAAAGACACAATCATTATCCAAAAATGTCTTATGTCAAGTTTACCAAAAAACATGTGACGATCTGAATGACTATGTTCCTAGACTTTAAAAGTCTTTTTCAAATGAGGGGTTTAGAAGCTTCAGACTGCTTGTTCAATGAATTAAATAACTGAGTGAATGAAAACATGGATGAAGGGGCAACCTCGGTATTAGAATTTTCTATTTGATGGACTTGAAAAGATCTGGCCAAGCCACCACAATAATCCAAGCTCTCTACACACTAGTTCAGCACCCTTCTGGTAGAATCATGCTTCCACTATTAATGATGTCCAGGAAGTAAAGAAACCAGCAAGTGTAGTTCCTTTTGGTGACAGTTGTTCCTTGAAATTGAAGTTTAAAAAACCTAAAGGTGGGAGGGGGTAATGAGGGGGTAGGGGGAAGGGTTGTCAGGAACATCTATAAAGGACACATGGACAAAACCAAAGGGGGGCAGGATCAAGGATGAGAAGTGGGGGATGGCTGGGGTGGGGGGGGTGAGTGGTGGGGGGGAAATGGAGATAACTATACTTGAACAATAAAAAATGTGAAAAACATAAATGAAAGTTTTGAATGTTTTTAAGTTAAAAAAACCAAATCTGTATTGTATATAAGCTGTTCGCTCTGTAAATTCTTAATTTATGATTGCCAAATAAAAGCAACATTACCTATGAAGTTATCTTGACCAAAAATTTGAATTTGACCAAGCCTCTTAGCCTAACTACCAATTTATAGAATTAAAAAAATTTTATTCAATTTATTTTTTAAAAATTTTATCCAGCCCTGGCTGGCATAGCTCAGTGGATTGAGCGTGGGCTGTGAACCAAAGGGTCACAGGTTCAATTCCCAGTCAGGGCACATGCCTGGGTTGCGGGCCGAGTCCCCAGTGGGGGCCACTTGTGAAGCAACCACACAATGATGTTTCTCTCTCTCTCTTTCTCCCTCCCTTCCCCTCTCTAAAACTAAATAAATAAAATCTTTAAAAAAAATTTTGCCAATTTCTCTTTTTTCATTATTCCCTTACCCTTTCCTTAAAGGAAACTTTTAAGATGTTTTCCCCCAATCATTGTAATGTTTAAAATTTTTTTGCCTTCTAAAACCATTTTTTTCTTGTGGAGGCAATATCACTTTCATTAAAAATGAATGCTCTGCATGATATGGTAAAGAACAGTAATTGTTAATTCCATAAGCTCCTTTCTACACTTTTTGCTATAAAATGTGTCCCTTGTTCAAAAGGATGTTGCATGTTATACTATGATCCCAATATGGTGCATAAGTCATTCTGCAAGTTCATGGATGCCTGAGGCTGGCAGGAGGGTTGAGGACAGGAAGGCAAACCCAGGATCAATGCCTATTTCCATGAGAAGAAATTGCTGCATGCTCCTCAATAACCATTCTTGACCTCTCAAGGCATTACTGATTCTCTGGTATGGTGATTAGATACAAGTTAATCTCTTTTCTCATCCCACTACTTTCTCAATGGACTTCCATGCAAAATGGTTTTGGTAGCAGGTGTGGAGGTTATGCATGGAATCAATCATCTGGCTTCCACCGCTGCTGAGTGCCCAACAAATAATAGCAAAGGCCAACGTTGAACCCTCATCAGAAAACCATTTTCCAGGAGATCCACAATGCACCTGGTGGGAGGTTGATTATGGTGAACCCACCAAATAAATACTCATACTCCATTCTTACTCCCACTCACAAAAGGTTGAAATCTTCTTGATTGAAGTCTACCTTAAGACAAACTCTTGATTGCTCTGTAATCTGACTTTTGATTGCTTTATCATGAAAAAAAATTCACAAATATTGAGACTTTTTGAATTCATGTCTGGAAACTATAACTCTTGTGAAGGAAAGAAATCACTTTCACTCTATATAAAAGAAGTAACAAAGGGCTGTTTCCCCATATTTTTGAAGTCCCAGAAACAGGATAATATGGCTTGGATTTATAAATGTTAAGGATAATTAGATACAGCCTTATTCATCCCCTGTTCTCCTGATCATTCACGATTAACTTCATGAGATTCAGCTAAACCAGCCTACATCTTCAGTTTTTCATATCATCATGAATCTGAGTGTGTATCCAAAATAATACGTTTTCAAGTAAAAATACAGTTTGTGACTTGTAATCACCCTCATTTTAGGTTTCGGAATTCTTGAGTAATTAATGCCTTTGGATACTTAATATCTGTTTCTGAATGCTTTAATTGAAACAAAGTAGAGCAGCAGGACTCAGTAATATTTAGATTTTTTTTTTTACTTAATGATAGTGTTGAAAACAAGTTAAATCTGTTTCCCTCATATGGTCTGAGAATAGGTTGGGGTATCCACATTTATACTGGAGCTCTGCCTCCCCTCCCAAATGATTCAGCTAAACATCATGAACATTTAACATTAGGTAATAGAATGTACTTTCCTAAAATAGCTGTAGCCCAAAAGGCTGTTGTGTGAGAATGAAGTCAAAGAATTAATAAGATCTGCATAAAACACCCTAATCAATTTCTGAGGAGAAATATATAACCAAGGACGGACCAAGTTCACTTTTGCTGACGTCCCTCCCTCTGAGAAAGCGTCAGGCAAACTTGGGCCACTCAAGCCCAAGGGAAATGGGAGTTTGCAGCAATTACCTAAGTAATTCAGGCACGAAGGCACATAGGGCTTGTCAAAGTCACCCACGGGAGCAAAAGGAGAATCTGAATGTTTTGAGTCTTGGTAGGAATGTATTAAACTATCTCTAGGACACATAAACTGGTATTGACTTCTTTCATAAAGGAAAATGTTTATTGCTATACAGAGTAAGCTCATGTACGTATGTCATAGGAAATAAATGTTCAATTTTCTTTTTATTTTAATTTGCCCAATAGAGAGTTTCTTTCACCCACATAAGATATACCAAGAGTGTTCTTATGTTCTGTTTATGGCATCTACAATACTATATTTCTCAGGTAATTTTCTCACTAAGCAACATAAATTTTCATTCAGAAGAAAAAAATCAGTGTTACTGATATGGATACAAAATAAAGGAGGAACAGAAAAGGATATAGGATTACCCATACACTTCTGGGAAATAAAAAGACTTCACAAACTATTTAAAAAAATCATTTTATTCACAGGGTACATTTCCAAGTTTTCTCCAAGTAAGGGAGGTAGAGAAATTGAGACTTACGGAACCTTCTCACTACCAGCCATAATTACAATGAACACACCAAAGAAAAAGACATATTTTTATAGCAAACCTTCTCCAACGACATTGCATTTAGATTCTGTGGAAAGAAACAGTTCAGCAGAACCAACAGAGATAGGTACGGTTTTTTCCAGTCACACTATAAAAAGTACCAATTACAGATTTTTTTCTTACCCGCTCTATTTTACATGAAAAAAAGAAAGAAAGAAATGAAAAGCACTGATTTTCCCTACACCTCCTGTCAGCAGAATGTGGCTTTATTAGGAGGAAGTATTTCCATGCACACTTCAAAGGTTATTTCATTTTGTATTCTAAGCTAAAACCTTTTCCATAATTATTGCATTCGTGGACTGGTAGACTACATTACATGAAAAAGAAGATTTGAATTTTTCTGTTTTCCCCTTACCTCCAGTCTCTGCAAAGCTGCTCTTGAAAAACAGCTTGCACATCCGGGGAATAATACAACGTGTGCAATAATCAAATTAGAGATCAAAGAAAAACTTCCTTTTTCAAAGCTTTTCAGACCAACTATGCTGTGTGGGAACTGGAGTTCTAGTAATATTCCAGACTTTTTAAAACTCAGGCAAGCTTTGCACTAGAGCTAGCCTTGTCTGTTTTCTCCATCTTCCCCCTGGTGTCCCTGACTCTGATGTGCCCTGGGACCCTCGATCATCCCAAATCGTGAACCCTGTAATTTATGAGGGATGTCTACACTAATCTACCAACAAGAAAGCCCAGGGGATGGGTGGTTATGAACAGATGAGAACAGAAGCAGATAGATTCTTCGCTTCTGTGAATGCCAGAATCTGCTGGAGAAAACATTCTTAATCTATGCACCCTCCTGCAGCTGTCCCTGTGAGAAGGTTCTAGCTTCACAAAGGATATTTACATACCGTTATCAGACATCTCCAAGGCCTACATACTATTGTGCATTTATATAAAATAGTCACATTCACCACATTTATAAAACTTCTTGCTGATGATAAAGACACAACTTGGAACAGACGTGGTTATACCTCTAAAGCCACTAGGGTACATGAAGAAAATAGCAAAGAAAGTTGGAGCCAAGCCAGAAAAACGTTAAGGCACCCTCTGCCACCCTCCCTCAGATAGCCATCTTTCTCTTTTCAATGGGCATAAGTAATGTGAAGTGTGCGTGTCTGTGTGTGTGCATAAGAACATAGGGGAAAAAAACACATCTGGGTCTCCCTACATAATAATGAATATAAAATCCCTTTACGGCATAAAATGATACACGACCATGTTTCAAAGCATCAGGTTCAAGGTGACATTTCCTACTATTGCTGCCTCGTCATGACAGGAGATCTAGATAATAATCTTATTTTGGAAGTATGGGTCAAATTAGAAATGAAAGGAATATGGAAACAGGAGTGTTTCATATCCAGGCTCAAATACCAAGGAGAGCAGAACTTGGAGAAGGGTGGGAAGAGGGGAAGCATTTAGACGGTGAGGGTCCCAGTCGATAAACAGGCCCTCCTCTTCTGGTTTCTTCCCTAAGAGCCTCACAGCCTGGCTCCCACACTGTTCCCTCCAGCATCTTCCACCATTAGTCCTAACAGCTGCGTGGCAGTACATGGCCTTTAAAATGTCTGTAAAGACTTTATTTTGGGGACTGCACTCAAGGACAAAAACCTCTGCATTCTCTGCTCAGCCACCTAAGATCCCTCTGAATGGTCCTTCACAACTAAAACCCTGATTTTTATCTTCCTCTTTTTTTTCATTTTGGTTAAACCATTTTTAATATTATAACTCTCCGTTCTCTGGCTGCACAGAGAATAACAGACATATCTGACTCTCGATTTTCTCTACCCTGGATAACATCACATCTTGCAGATATTCATTGGTATCTTGTGAAGCATAAGCTTTTAAAATGACAAATATCTGGAGAAAATCTAATGAATTACATAAAAGCAGAGAGACATGATCAATAAATTTGGGTATTATTCTATAAAACTCCTAGACAGCTTTGCAACAATTGATTACATCCCACAACTTCAACAGGAAAGCAAACAGAAAGAATTTCAGCACACTGTATAGATCAATAAGAACACAGAGGAGGTAGGTAAACCATAAACAAAATATATTTCATCTTTTGTGCTTTAGAAAAGTTATAGTTACAGGCTTTGGCTATCACACAAATGCTCACAGGTATGATAAGCCAATTTATAATAAGTCATTTATTCCTTATTTGATACAAATACAAAAAATCAGAAATGCTGGCACCAGAAGAAAATTAGAAGGAAACATAACCACGTATTTTCCTATTGTGACGACGGCAAGCAGAGGTTGTGTTGTGTTTTAATGAGCCTCCCATTCATGCGCTTGCTTCAGTGTCTCACTTCTAAGATGTATGTAAAAAAATTCAAAGGACGAGACTAGCCTGGGGGTAAAGCCAATAGTATCCACTGTTTTAGGAAGGGAAGAAAAAAGGTCATGGCAATTGTAGATTCATACACACACACACACACACACACACACACACCTTCTTCCACTCGCTTAACCTAAATATTGTGGCCTAATATTTAGTTTATAAACAGACATGCCAGGCTCCAGGATTCCTTTGGGTTCATCTCCAGAGATTAAAAAAAATTCTCCATAGGAACTGGTGGAATATTTGCTATCTCCCTACCTTCAAGGACTCAGAAGATCCATCTGGATGGGGGGAAAAGCTCCACTTTGAATAATCACTGGCAGGACCATAATTAGGTCAGGGTGACCAGCATTCTGTCACAAGATACCCAAATTTAGAGAGCACAAGTGTGAGAAAAAAAATCAGCAACAGCAACAAAAATCTATCTAAGGCAGTGTAAAATTTTGAGCTTCTCAGCAAATTTCCACACCAGCTCTCTAGTCACAAGGCTACTAGCTCAACTCCAGGGTGAGGCCAGCTTCCAGGGGACTGGACAGAGATAAATAGTACTTGAAAGCCAAGGTCAAGGGCAGAGACTTCTCTGACACTTGGTTGCTGAGAACTTGAGAGCAAGGCCGCCTCCTCCTTTCCACATGCTTCATTCACTCCCTAGCACACAGTGGACCGAAGTTGTCAAAACTGCTAGTCATATTTATAGTTACTGTTGAGGAGGTTAGAGGCCTGGCCTGAGCTGAAGGCACCCGGAGTCGTGCACCCACTTCCAGCCCTGATGTGTACCCATCAGCAGACACGTAATCAGAGAGTCGACCTCTCCCTACACTGGGAAGATGAAGAAACGCAAAGCACAATTTTGGTCTCAGTCCTTATTTCTCCACATACTTTTCAAGTTCCCACAAAAATCCTTATCGCTTTGATCTTTGGAATCCTGCAAACATAAAACAGATATATTCCCTGGTTCTTACATAACACAATGAGAATTTCATACAGTTTTCAATGGACTGTGACATTTCTTCCTCTTACATCTCCTAACAAGGATTTGTCAGTTAAAAAATGTCACAAGGTCAATATTTTTAGACATAAAAATTAAAACCATACATGACCGATTTTCCACACACAGAAGAGTTTGTAACAAAGTGTACAACTACCATCGTTGCTGCCAAGAGGGATGCTGTTGATGTTGTTCCCATTTAGAATCATTTATAATACTTCTATAAATCTTCTGACTAATCTAAAAATATTTATGATAAATTTAGAATTCTAGGATATCTTCAGCTATTTTTTGAGATTTTAAAGCTATGTTGTTCATTGCTTCAGGTACAATTTGTATATAACCTAAGTGAAGGTTTTAGCCAAAAGAAGGGCACGAAACATCACAAAGCCAAACACAGAGCATTGTCTGAATATCTGACATTTGGGATCATCTGGATCATTTTGGATCATTTACCTTTGTTACAATAGTTAAAAGTGAACTAAACAGAAACAGAATCCAGGAAGCACTGTTTAACTTCTGGTGTTAAACGCAGTTTAAATGCACAATGTTGTATAAACTGCTGGTCAAATATTCTTTACACAGGTTATGTGCCCAAATGTCCTCTTCCATATAAAAATCTGTCATATAAAGTTAGTATTATTTTTGCTTAATCCCAACTCATAGGCACAGACAACAGCATGGTGATTTCCAGAGCGAAAGGGGGTCAGGGGAAGGTAGGAGAGGAGAAGAATGATGGAAGGAGATTTGACTTGGGGTGATGAACACACAAAACAATATACAGATGATGTGTTATAGGGCTGTTCATGTGAAACCTATATAATTTTATTAACCAATGTCACCCCAATAAATTCAATTAAAAATTAAAAAGTAAAACAAAATCCTTTTTTCTTTCTGATGGAATGACTTAATCCTTCAACTATCTGAATTCTACACTAAAGTGTAATCAAAATTAACCAGAAGTCATCCTCATTCATGATTCTTACCATTGACACAATTTTCCAATCGGAGCTGACAGAAAGTCCCCACTGGGAACACATGTTCAGTCCTTTCAGCGCCACTTCGGCCTTCATGGAGCAACCTAATTTTTGTCACTAAAAAAACTTTAAAAATTAGATTGATGTTTGAGAGTGACGTCCTCTCTTGGCAGATGCATTGAAAGAGATGAAATATTTCTTATTGAATGTGTTTACCATAACCTGAATATCTTCTGAGATGAATCTTAAGAGTCATTAATATAAAAATATAATTGACTAAATTTGGCAAAGTATGAGGCACAATTCTGAGATCCTCAATTTCAAAAAAAAAATAAATAAAATGATGAGAGTTTAGAACTCAATTTCTTAATAGAGTATTCCAGAGTACTCTGCAAGACAATTCTAGACAGACCCTCATTTAGGAACACACATATTTTAGTAAGGATAGAGACACATAAGTTTAGTCTACATACACAAGCACACACTCCCAGTCTCGGGTTTAGTTACAGCTATCTAACCACACTAAAGGAAATATGATGCCACACCTGTAAATCGTCACTATAGAGTCATCCCAACTTTAATCTACTCTAAGAAAATACTCTCATTAACTTGTAGTCAGACTTTGAATGACACAATCACATGTGAGTATCCTTAAGTGAAGACAATATGGAACAATCAAAATATTTTGGTCTAATCCAGGGTTTCTCATCCTCAGCACTACTGACTGACACGTTAGACTCAGTAGTTCTTTATTTGTGAGGAATCTGACCTGTGCATTTTGAGTGCTTAGCAGGATCCCTGGCTTCTACCCACTAGATAGATGTCAGTAACACCCTCCAACTCATGACAATCAAAAACATCACCCAATACAGAAGGAGAATCACTCGGTTTGAGAATCACTGGTCCAAGTAAACACTATCAGTTTAGGATATTTTGGTTTTGCCTTTCAGAAGCCACAGATTTATGGACTCGACATTGTACAAATCTATTGCACAAATCTATTCCAGGAGTCACTACAAGATGTAACATTTCCAGATATACTTTCAATAGAACTGTGATTCATTGGCTTTATGTTGCTCATTAATTACATTTTAACAAAGCACTAATTTGAGTGACATTTTATTAACATTTGTATGTGTTTTTCATTAGCCCTTTTATATTTATGATGAAGTATATAGATTAAAATGTATTCCTTTTTAAGGTAATTATTAATAACAACAGCTCAAAAGAGGAAACATATTCAGGACTGCACATAGTGAATATTTGACACAGCTCACTCAATAGTAGATTTGCACTACATTTTTGCTGCCACATGGGATCAAAATAGCAAATCAGTTCTGCACAGAATCAATACTCTCAAATTCTTAACATTCTAAGTATTAGCATAATCTGTGTTATGTCAACCAGTCATATTTCAACTGCTGCTTTCTATAAAAACCTCAAAATTCTATCTTATTTATAAATTTCTTATTCCAATAATATAGATATTTTCCAAGGGCATTGCTATCTTGGTAGCTTTTAAGTTAATTTACCAAAAACTGCCACCTGTTTTAATCTATATTGTGTACTATTTCTACTATTTAAAAAATGAAACTTTTTGGCACAGTTTACCTAAATTTTGGCTATACTTAAAAAAAACACAAAGATGATGATTTCCAGTGTCTCCTTTTAGATTAAGGCATCCCAAAGAACAATGACAATGAAAGGCTTCCTTTACCCTTCTCTGATATGTAAACACATCTAGCTGCTTGAAGTCTGTCAGAGTTTGGCTTTCTAAATTGTCCTACCTGCTACTAAGAAAATAGATAGCTACTAACTCACATCTCTTCACTTGTATGAATCTGCCTTGTATGAGCATGTTCCACTCATGGTCCACTGAAGGGAATCAGAATGAGTAAAACAATTCTGTTCATTTGGGGTAAGCATTTGGGAGTAAGGCTTACATCTCACGCTGGTATGAGCACTATGAGCAGCAACCAGTTAAGCTGGCTTATCTTACATCGGGGTGTAATGGGTAGTACATAATACATTTACAGCTCTCTAACACTGGTTACAGGTTTATTTGTTTTTAATACCAGGTTACGTGGGTTCAGCTTTCATAGTTGCACAGGAATGAGCTTTGTTTAATCGAGTGTGTGTGTATATGTGTGTGTGAACGTATGGATGCTTGCATGTGTGTGTGAATATGCTTTCTCTCAAAGTGAATACATCATGGTAGATAGAAAAGGGGGGAACCTTCCACTCTGTCTTTCAGAGACTAAGTTTATACCACTGGGGATATTAAACTATGAAGACAATTATGCAAATAGTTTGCAAATAAATAATGCACTCACATTTGTAGTCTTTTTGCACTAAAATACCAATAATTCAAACTGGCTTACAAAATGTAGACCTAAAATTGAATTTATGCCCTAAATTCTGATGAGGAGGAGAAGTGATTCATGTTATCCAGACTATGAATCAACGCAGTCTAAATTCAACAATGCTTCACACTAAGTAGACCTGACAAAAGGGGAGGAAGCAATTCTTATTTAATATTTTTAAATGGAAGGAGACTAGAGCTAACATAGACTTGGTTCAACAAATCACAAAGTCAGCTGCGGTGTTTTATATCCTTAGATTTTTTAAAATCTATCTCATCATCTACTCACTGCCCCTAAATAGAGCAAAAATAAATAATAATTTTTAAAAATCTATGGTTCCAATGTTAGTTTCCATATGTAGTTTTTTAAATGAATCCAGTTTGTATTGATAATCAGCAACACTTTGCCCTGGTATTTCCTTTATGGACCTTGAGTAACTCCTCAACTTCAACAACTGGAGTTCCATCTTATTTGTGAACTGCACCTTCTTGATTTAAACCATGTAAATGTGCTTTACCAGCGTGATTTCATCAGAATGTTACTAGTTGCAAATCCACAATGTGCTATAAAATATTTCATAGGACATTTTACTTCTTATTTGTCCTCCAAGCCAACATTAAAAGGAGAGTTTCCCGTGGATGGTGGTGGTTGTTTGCAAGTGGCCCATGCAAATCCATGAAATGACTTCACCATTTCCTTTTGTGGTCATGTAGAAAACCTAACAAAAATACCCTGACTTAGTTTTTCCTTTTCCCACTGTCCCTAGGAGGTGGGCTGCAGCGAGGTGTCCTCACACGGGTCTAGCTGCATTCTCAGTGCACCGACTTTATGAAGATACCAGAGTTGGAGAAACTCCTCCGGCATGGCATGAAAGCCAGAGAAGGGCAAGACATTATCATAGTAGTGGTGACTGATGGGCTGCTCATGCATATTCACAGAGAAGGGCCAGAAGCCATAGATGGCCACCTCCTCACAGAGGCCCAGGGCTGCGCTCACCAGAAAGAGCCCCGTGGACAGGCGTTTGGCATGAATTCCCCTACTTTTCCAGAACTTCCCAATGCTACGCAGAAAGTTGGGGTTAGCAAAGAGCACTGTTTGATTCGCACCGACATCTGATAGCGTGTAATAGACCCGGAGGGATGGCTCTGTTCCTGTCTTCATAGAGAAAGCAGGCATGTAGATGTAACTGTGGTTATAAATTTTCATGTTGTCCACAAATGTCTTTCTGGACCACAGCAGGTTCTGAAACCTATTAAAGAGAAAAAGAGGCTCAATTAACCTGAAGAAAAAAAATTCATCAACATCCACTCTATTGTTCTTCTGATGGCCTTAACAGCTCATATCATCCTTAACTTCCAGTTATCTCTCATCTTGTAGTTTGCCTTTCCCCCACCTCTACATCCTAAACTCAGGTTAACATTCCTTAATGGAATTCCTTCTGAACTAACACACATTGTACATTTCGTTCTCTTCATTTTGTTTGCTTGGAGTGTAAAGATGATTTAATACTCATGAATGCAGAAACTTTTGGTTACTGGATAAGATTTTGATAAAAGCTTCTTGTGAGTCCTGACATAAGCACAGGACTGGTTTCCTCAACTGCAAATCAAGGATCTTCTTCTAAAATACTTCTTCCCATCGGAATTCTATGATTTTACAATACAAGTATTCAGATTAACCAATGCTATATTGTGACTAAAACACAGACAAAAAGACTTGTTATTATAAAATGATGCTAAGAGTTGCCCATATTGCTTGCATTAAAGAATTCTTCTTTCCTATGTTCTTTCATTTTAGATTACATGAAGTGAAAGTTCAAATATATTTCCCTAAAACTGATGGTACACATCCTATGTGTCAGGCATTGGGGAATTAAAAATTTAATTACCAAATTTGGGGCCTTAAAAAATTCAAGTAGTTGTGGAAACAAAATTATAAATGAGTGCACATATTCTAATGCAACATTAATATTCTGATAATAATCTAATATTCTGTTGCATATCAAATGCAACATTTGATATGTGTAAAAAGCCAGGAAATTTAGTTTAAAATAATTCATTCTGCCTTGGAAGAGGATGTGGAGTTCAAGAAAGCTACAGAGAGGAGATGACATTTAAATATACCTCCTTAGGGAAACAGGAAGGACAGCAACTAAACTAGAAGGGACACTTTGGTCATTGACAAGGACATACAGTGTACTAAAACTAGGATGAGGATTCTGTGTTCCTGTAATGAGCTAGGTGGAAATGATAGGGGTCAGGGCTGAAGATGAGGTGTGTTGAAAACAACTGTGTGTCTTTGGATTCACTCTGTAGTGACAGGGAACCTTCACAGCAGTGAGTACTTATAGCACTGACTATTTGGATTACAAATAATTCATCATTTGTTTAGTGGTCAGTCAGTGTCAGAAAGGTAACTCTGGCATTTAGAAAGTGTTCTGGGGAAGAAAGGGGCTGGTGGCCTAGAGACCAGTTAAGAGGTTGCTGATACAGCTCAGAGGGAAAACAAAGGGAAACAGGCAATGAAATAGCTGAGAGCTTTGCAGCAGCATCTAAGAATGGGACTGAGCCACAACTAGCTGAGGGATTCTGGCCTGACATCTCTGCAGGGCTCATCATAAATATGTGAAACCAAATTTCTGAACACACAAATCCACATGACTTTATGCAGCAATCAGTGTTTTTAATTCTGCCCGCCAAGAAAGGTGTGTTTCTCAAGCCCAAAGGAAGGGAAATTGCTTAAGTTTTCTTCATGTCCTTGACTTAGCAGCCTGTGTTAGCAATTTTTACGGGGCCCTGACAAATAGAGAAGTGATCATAGCGTTTTTAGATGGAATCACTTTACCGTAGATGTCATGGAAGCACAATTGAACCATATTCCAGAGCTGAGTGAGCTTCTCCAACAGAAATTCCTGCTTTCCAACTTCCAAATAGTCTCTTCTTAGACAATTTTAAATTCTCTCATCTTTTTAAATTGCCCATCCTAATTTTCTATTCTCTTCCTCCAACACTAATTCAGTCTCAATAATGTAGACACACCCTGAAGATAATAATATCCCACTTCGTTTGAACAGTGGTTCCCAAACGCTAGCTAGAAAACCTGAAATTTTAGCCAGCACTCTCCAGTGATTCCATGATGCAGGCATCCAGGGGACACACTCAACAGATCAGAGCCAACAGTGCAATCTACCTAGCTCTCTGCGTCTACTCCTCAACATCTCTTTCTTTACATCTTCTAATTTTATGCTTGTTGCGACTCTAAGAGGAAGAGTGTTCCCTCTTCCCCTCTGTTCATGGAACAAGCTATTTCACATTTTCCAAAGAACTCTTGTTCAAGGTGGGTTTTCCCTCTTTAAAACATTCAGCCTCTCCATCTCTACTGAATTATCCCCTTCTGTCTTTTAAACATTGTTAGAACTTAATAAGAGAAAAAATTTCCGATGTCCACATTGTTCCCAGAGCTACATTCTAGGTCTCATTGCACCAGCAATGTATAGAACAGTTAGTATACTTCCAGTTGTTCCCTTTTGTTCTCCATAAACAATTCCTTCCTTATTGCTATGCAGAATGACTCCTATTCCACAGGACTCTGCTGGCTGATGGAAACTCCTTATTTTTCTGGTGGAACACACACTAATGAGAATTAAACACTGCACCAATAAAATCAGGGTGATTGATTTTATGTTCCCTGTCTCAAAGCTGACTGATTACCTTGAACAGGGTAGTCTTCCTTCCTTGAGTTTTAGCTTTGAAAAGAAAGGCACATCTTGGATTTACTATACTCTTAATTTTATTGACAATGTTAAAAACAGCCCATACTGTGTATTATATTTTATTACTTTTATCTACTCCATTCTTCAACAAATGGCATTACTTGACTCAATTCAATAATTATTTGTGGCATAACTAGTATAATTAATGTCATCCTGATCAACAGTTTCATAAGAATGGTTTTGACTTTTACTGAATTTTTAAAAATTCAATGAGAATTATAAAACAGTGGTCTCCAGCCTATCTCTCCAGCCACCTCATACCCAGTACCCTTCATGCCCTCACCCTGAACTCCAAGCATCCCTGAACGTACACTCTTTCACATTTTTCATCCATGTTTTTGCTCATCATTCATTGTGCTCCTGAGGCCTGCCTATACATGAAGACTCCACTTAACCTTTTCCATCAACAGTTTAGTCCTTCCTTCCAACTTCATCTTTCAAGAGTCTTCTTTAAGCTCCTCAATATGAACTAATCATGCCATCTGAGAATGTGTACTTCTTGAAGAGAGGGAAATATCTTATTCGTCTTTTAATCTTTATAACCTAACTCAGAATAAGGATATATTGTATGAATAGAAAGCTATTTTTTAACATTTATTGTCGTTCAGTTACAGTTGTCCTGCCTTTTTCCCCACTGCTCACCCCAACCCCATCCCCCAACTCCCACAGTCAATCCCCTCATTGTCTGTGCCCAAGAGTCCTCTATTTGTAGTGTTCCTTTGCTTGCCCCTTCCCCATCTTTCCCCTATTCTCCCCCTCCCCACTCCCCTCTGGCCACTGTCAGTATGTTCTTTATTTCCAAGTCTCTGGTTCTATTTTGCTAATTTGTTTGTTTGGTTGATTGAATACCATGGAACAGAAAGAAAGAACTCCTACCCTTTGTGACAGCATGGATGGAACTGGAGAGTATTATACTAAGTGAAATAAGCCAGGTGGTGAAAGACAAATACCATATGATCTCACCTATAAGTGGAACCTAATCAACAAAACACACAAATAAATAGAAAACTATTAAGTAATAATTGAAAAAGAAGAAAGTGAAAATAAAAGAAAAAAATGCAAGTGAAATCAGATCAGCCAATGAATTATTAAAAACAAAAATATAGTGAATATAGGCAAGAAATAGAGAAATATACTAATAGAACACAGTAGAAAGCATAGAAATGCAGCACATATTACACATAAATTTAATATGTGATATTAGAGACACAATGCATGACATTTTTTAAAGTTGTTAATAAACAATGCCAAGATAACTAGTTAACAATTTGAAATTTGAGGGGAAATAGATTCATGCTTGACAAGATAATTATAAAATAATTTTAAGGTAAGATAATTATTTAAAGTTCACATTGCAAGAAAAACTAAAAACAAAGTTATCGGACATTTATAGATATCTTTTACAAAGTAAAATATTGAAAAAATTGATTATATCAAGATGAGAAAATCCATTCCTGTGAAAAATAAGATAACTAAAAATAAAGAAAATGACTAAAAAATATTTTCAGCCAATATGATAAATAGAAGGTTAATATTGAAAACAATATGGTTTCAAACTATTGATACATTGGCATAAAATGGACAAAAACAAAAAAATTAACCTAAAAGAAATCGCAATGGATAAAAAACATTAAAATGTTCATCTTCAGGCTGCCGGTCAACAAACTGAATAGAATCAGGGAAGGGAAGGACCCAGCTCTCCCAGCTATCTAGAAATGAGAAAAGATGTTTTTTTAAAATCTACATCCAACCTGAAAAAAGAAAAGAAGGCATACCCTCAGTGGACCCCCAAATCAGGGCTACCTCTGACAAACAGGAAGCTCCCTGAAGGAAATCAGCACATAACTCCCTGGTCGAGCATCACTCTCAATGGCAGCAGTGTCCTATGCCAAAAGGAGGAGCAACTGGAGAAGGTGGGTGTTTGGGAACCTTCAACAAGGTTGCTGTTAAGACTATGGGGCAGCAAGGTGCACTGAATCCTATGATCCTGGATGGTCAATTACCACTGTGCGTGGTGGCAGCAGGGGCGTCGGGGGGCAGACAGGGGTTGTTTATGTCAGGCTCTAGGGAGGAACAATGACTGCTATCGAAATAGCTAGCACAGCCCAGGGAAAACTGGGATGCTTTTCAATGCATACAGTATTGGAAGCCAGGCTCATAGTTCTCAAGTAGAATATCGACTCTGACAGGCCAAAGGAAAGATCTGTATATAGTGATACTTGGGAGTCACCCAAAAGAAAGCCACCTTACCACCTTCTCTTTGACAGAGAGTAAATTCTACCTGTCGAGAAGTTGTCTCTGCACAGAGCTTCTAGTCACCAAATAAGGACAGACACCCAAGATCAGAAACACTGAAGAAAAGTCTCTAATGTGAGGGTCAGAAAACAAAACCAAATAAAGAATTCAGAGGAAAACAAGATTATTCAAGGGGCAGAAAAAATCTTAAAAACCTATAATGTTTGTTTGGAAATATTAAT